TCTTAGTTAATTTGAGTAAAAGAGGCAAGATAAAATCGCAAAAAATCACAGAATTATGAAAAAGTGGTTTGTGTTTAGATAGTTTAGTAAATAATATGAACCTCCCGCCAAACGACACCAACGGGGGCTGCGGAAAAATGAACTGTCTTTATAATTGTCTGGATGCTTACTTTACACAACAATTTCACAATTAATACATATTCTCAATTGACTTGCCTCAAATTGTCTTATGTAAACGCATCGTAAAGCTCTACCCAGAATTGCAGCGGATGACGATAAAGCGGTCGACGGTTAATCTAGATTTGTATTTTGGAAGTAGGAGAAAGGGGAAGAATGTGATCGCCTTTTGCGAAAACGGTAGTAGAAAGGTACTAAGAAAGTGCGCAAAGTATACAATGAGAAGTAAGATGTGTATTTTTTATTATATGTGAATTTGCAATATATTTGGTGCTTTAATGACAATACTAAGCAATACGTAAAATAATAGATTTTTAATTTAATTTATTCGTCATTTCCTGGAACGAATCTAGCATACCGACCGTTCAGCTATGCAAAAACAAAAAATTCAAATCAATAGAACTTTTTACGCTCATTTCAACCATGTCAAAACCATTTAGCGCAAGTAAAATATAAAGACGTTTTAGAAGGTTACAATAAAATTCTTTGATTTTTTTTAATATTAATATCTTATGAACCACATAACCGATTAAAAAACGTCAGCATAAAGATAATCAATTTATCTTTCAGCTTATATACAAGTTAATCTCTCGTGTCGCGAGAGATATAAAAAATTAAAGGTGCGGCGAACCCACTGTTCGCCGATGCTTTTCAAACCGTAATTAAAAGACGGACAACTCGAGTTGAGCTTAACACAATTTATTACGTGTCACTTGCACGTCCCAAAATTAACTAACTCAAACATATGAATTCACTTACTGGCTAACCTCTTACTCCTAACTACTTATGCTAAGGTTGCAGTTCCCACATTTCGCAAGTTGGGGCTTGCGCGTGCAGACAGGAATTGCTTATATTGCAATTCCCATGATTTCAATAATTCCGATACCTGACCTGATCGGTGGTTGCGCGTGTGCCGCGTCAGCAAAGTTAGTAAGTGCAACAATATGGTCACATGCCTGGCAACGTGAGTAAAGGGTGCGCCATTGATCGGTATTGGTATTACAGGTAAGATAACTTACATAATTGAAATTGTTTTTTATATATTTATACCAAAACCACTAAAAAACGAACATGTTATTTTTTCATCAAATAACCTTTTTTGAAAAAAAAAATGTATGATTAATGGTAAAGAAATTTATATTATTTAGAACGTACAAGCTATTATCTTTAATTCGGTATACATATTTTATCATGATCTACTTTTGGGTTTTAAGAATTAAGTGATAATAAAAAATATAAGTAAACAAAGCAAATAAACCTCTTATATCTTCATTGTTTATTACCTGCGCCAAATAAATTTGGTATCGTTGAAATCAGCGTAAAAAGGTCTATCAATCGGCGCTTTTGGTTATTTTATAGCTAAACGGTCGCTAAGTATTCTAGACTTGTTCCAGAAATTTACGCAACCGAAGGTGATGCCAACGAATATTTAGTATGAAGAATTTTTGGTTTTACTACTAATATAACTAGAAACTGTAGAGTGAGCAACATTCTGCACAAGTAACGGAACCGATTTTATGTGTGGGAGCGAGAAAACCTTTCTATTATTGAATCATGGTTCAATGAGTTAATTGAAGAAATTGTAATAGAAATAAAAGAAATTGTAAAAGATAAAAGCAAGGAAACTGTACGATGAGTGAAATACTCCGTTCGGACTGAAAATGGCAACGCCGCATGACCAGAACTGGAATCTTGTGCTACCAGATGTGTATAATTAAAACGCGCAATGCTTAAAATCCCTCGAAGAGCGAGGAGTAAACACCACTGGCGCAGCCGCCGCTGTCAAAGTGTATATATTTCGCTAATCTTTGCCCGCTGTCGTGTCGTTGTTGGTCGATCAGCTTGCGTTGTTGTTGAATTGCCTATCGTGGAAGTAAAAGTGATTTTGTTCATTTAATTTGTAGTCCCCATTTGGTGTTAGCCCGAAAATAAATTTAAAAAAAGCATTTACCACTTCACCGTTACAACACGATTCTTAAAACAAGTTGAAAAGTTTAGTTATATATCCAAACTTAAGGAAAATGTGTAAGTAAAATTGTGTGCTTTTAATTAAATGCATTATGAAATCATATACACATACTACATTAAACGGAAGAAAGAAATGAAGACATCGCATTTCTTGTTCATAGCGCCTCAATACGAAACCAAAAAATGGTCAAAAACTCGTCCAAAAACGAAGGTACCAAAGTTCGAAAATGAAAGTAAAATTTCTCCGAAGCTCCGTCAATTGAATTGCATACATACATATGGTTTACGTATCTTCCGTCGAATGCTGCGCCGTATTTCCTTTCTTTTTCCTCCGCAGTATCTACTTTTTTTTATGAATTTCTTCTGGTTCTGCGCTATACTGCTTTGCTTAGATGACTTGACAAACAACGTTGACGACGACATCGGACTATAGCAGCGGTGCGACGCTGTTGTTGGTAACTCGTATTGAAGAGCCAATTTTCAGCTAGCCAAGCATCGGAAACTGGTTGCCAGCTAGCCTCTTTACTTAGCAGCCACACCCCCCGCTTGTTGGCACACTGCGCATAACTTCATATTCAACCGGCTAGGGTGCAACCACATCCAAGCAATATGTATACACAATGCTTTCATATTTTCGAAACCCTTTGTTTACTCACTTTTGTTTTCAAATGTATATATGCATACATATGTATATTTTTGTTGCTTTAGCTGTGACTACTTCCATTATAGCAGCGCGATCTCGGCTTGGCAGCACGCTACTGCCCGACTTCGCTCTATTCGTTTGTTTGCCTGTTGCTTTGCTTTTCTGGTGTTGACGTGCAAATTAAAAAAACTGGTTTTGGTTTGTAACGGTTGCACTGGGCAGTCATATTTATAAGTATATTTATATGCTTGTATGTAAAACCAAGCTCAAGCGATAGTGGAAACGGCAACTTGGTCACATCTGGGCACTGGTACTAACAGCCATTGCGTCGCGAATTTGTCGCTGCAAGTGAATTAATCACAGCATTTTTTGTTTATGTTGATATTTTCTTTCACAATTTGCATAGTTACATATGTACATATGTACATATGTACATAATTGTTTCTTAGTTTTAGATTGCATCTACCATCGGTAGTCTAATATGATCATATAGAAACA